AGTATACAGCACATTCTAGGTAAGGTCTAAACGTTTCAAGCCTTAGATAAAGGCTGGCAGTGTTTGTAGACTGTGTGCATTACCATTGAGAGGAAACAGTTATCAATATCATACTCTGCCAGGACTGCAGGTAGAAATCATGGCCACCTCGGCCAAGATGGCATACATAATAGAGAGACACCAGCAGTCTAACATAATATTGAAGAAGGCAATGATAACTCACGAGGAAAAAGCATGAGAACAGAGACAGCTTACACTGAGTAGATGTCAAGGGGGAGACTAAGAAAAATTCCACTGCTCCAAGTCCTATACCAAATGAGTTTTCGTCCATGTGATGACATTTTCAAAAGAAACCAAAGGATTTAATGGTATTGGAGGGAATGGATGTGAGTAATGGATAAAAATGTATGTTTTAACCAGTGAAGACCAATGCTGCCATGTACCAATGCCATTATCACTTCTTCGCCGTAATCTGTTGGAGCTAGTTTATATATTCAGGGATTCTTAGCTAGTTTATATATGCAGGGATTCTTTCTCCCCAAATTGGAAAAGAAACCAAGGAAATAAAGATTTTCTTTGGATTTATCATGGTTTTGCTTGCCACTTGTACTAATCTGTTAGGTATCATGTGACAAAGTTCAGGCAATCATTTTTCTTCTTCTTTTAGTGTGTATTTCTTCTGCTGGTATGTGGGTGATTGAGAAAGGACAGCAATCATCCCAAACAAAGAAAGAATTGTGAGAAGAGAAACCCCTCTTCTTTCCATTATATACTTTATATAGTGAAAAAAAATGCATGTCAAAGCAGGACTTATAAACAAAGTGGCGAACAGACCTTTCTATCCATCGAGTTTCCAATTTCGGGCACACAAATCTGATTGGGTATCTTATTATGTCACAAACTTCAACAAGTATGTGAAAATGCACGGGAGAAAATATTATTGATTAATTAATGACAATGATACAATGAGCCCTATATATATAATATATATCATACTCCTAATACATATGAGATTAGGGTTATTTACTACTATTTAACTATCAAACTAACACTCCCCTCAAGCTGGTGCATATAAATCATATGTACCGAGCTTGTTACATATATAACTAATACGAGGAGCGGTGAGGGAGTTGGTGAAAATATCAGCAAGCCGATCATTCAACTTCACAAATTTTGTAACAATATCTCCCGAGAGTATCTTTTCTCTAACAAAGTGACAGTCAATCTCGATGTGTTTAGTTCTCTCATGGAACACTGGATTTGACGCAATATGAATAGCAACTTGATTATCACACACAAGTCTCATCTGACTAATCTCACCAAATTTCAACTCTTTGAGCAACTGTTTGATCCAAATTAGCTCACATGTGGCCATAGCCATTGCTCGATATTCTGCTTCTACTAGACCAAGCAACCACATTCTGTTTCTTGCTATTCCAAGACACCAAATTTCCTCCTACTAAGACACAATATCCAGACGTAGAACGTTTATCAGAAGGTGATCCTACCTAATCAGCATCTGAGTATCCAACGATCTGCTCATGGCCTCGATCCTCAAATAATAAGCCTTTGCCTGGAGCTGATTTTATATACCGAAGAATGTAGACAATTGCATCCCAATGACTATCCCAGGGAGAATCCATAAACTGACTCACAACACTCAAAGGAAAGGAAATGTCAGGTCTAGTCACTGTGAGGTAATTTAATTTACCAATCAACCGCCTATATCTTGCAGGATCGCTAAGAGGCTCCCCCTGTCCTGGCAGAAGTTTAGAATTCGGATCCATCGGAGTGTCAACAGGTCTACAACCTGTCATTCTTGTCTCCTCAAGAATATCTAAGGCATACTTCCGTTGTGAGATCACAATACCTGAGCTAGACTGAGCGACCTTCAATACCCAGAAAATACTTTTATCTGCCCAGATCTTTAGTCTGAAAGTGCTGAAAGAGATGTTGCTTCAACTTACTAATACTGTCCTGATCATTGCCGGTAATAACAATATCATCAACATAAACGACCAGATAAATACAGAGATTTGAAGTAGAATGTCGATAAAATACAGAGTGATCAGCTTCACTACGAGTCATGCCAAACTCCTCAATAACTATGCTGAACTTACCAAACCAGGCTCGAGGAGACTGCTTTAGACCATAGAGGGACCGGCGCAACCGACATACAAGGCCACTAGACTCCCCCAAGCAACAAAACCAGGTGGTTGCTCCATATAAACCTCATCCTCAAGGTCACCGTGAAGAAAAATATTCTTAATGTCCAACTGATAGAGAGGCCAATGGCGAACAACAGACATGGATAGAAAAAGGCAGACTGATGCAATTTTAGCCACGGGAGAGAAAGTATCACTGTAATCGAGTCCAAATATCTGAGTATACCCTTTGGCAATAAGACGAGCCTTAAGTCGATCAACCTGGCCATCTGGACCAACTTTGACTGCATACACCTAACGACAACCAACGGTCGATTTACCCGAAGGAAGAGGAACAAGCTCCCAAGTACCACTCGTATGTAAAGCATACATCTCGTCAATCATAGCTTGTCGCCATTCGGGATGAGACAGTGCTTCACCTGTAGACTTAGGGATGGAAATAGAGGACAAAAATGACACAAATGCACAATGGGATGATGACAGACGATGGTAACTTAAGCCGACATAATGAGGATTAGGATTAAGTGTGGACCGTATTCCTTTTCGTAGTGCAATCGGTTGATTAAGAGGAGACAAGTCCGCAGTATTAGCAAGGTCAGGTGCAGGACGTGAATCAGCTGGGCCTGATGCTGGGTGCGGACGACGATGATAAGTCAGGAGTGGTGGAGCTGTAGAAGGTTGAACTGGACTAGGTGGTGGCACTATGGAGGAAGATGAATGGGAGATAGGGACTGAATCTCCAAAAGAGGGAACTAGTAGCACCTCAGAAACATCTAAGTGATTAACTGGACCTGTGAAGTATGATTGGGTTTCAAAGAAGGTAACATCAGCAGATATACTCGATGGTGGCACTATGGAGGAAGATGAATGGGAGATAGGGACTGAATCTCCAAAAGAAGGAACTAGTAGCACCTCAGAAACATCTAAGTGATTAACTGGACCTGTGAAGTATGATTGGGTTTCAAAGAAGGTAACATCAGCAGATATACTCGATGGTGGCACTATGGAGGAAGATGAATGGGAGATAGGGACTGAATCTCCAAAAGAAGGAACTAGTNCAATTGCATCCCCCCAAAAACGCAGCGGAACATGAGATTGTATGAGTAGGGTACGAGCAGTTTCAATAAGATGTCTATTCTTTCTTTCAGCTACCCCATTTTGTTGGGATGTGTACAGACAAGATGTTTGATGAATAATCCCATGGGAGTTCATAAACTGCTGAAATAGAGAAGACAAACACTCTAGGGCATTATCACTACGAAATGTGCGGATAAGAACCCCAAATTGATTTTGAATTTCAGCGTGGAAGATCTGGAAAATAGAAAACAACTCAAATCGATTTTTCATCAAAAATATCCAAGTGCACCTGGAATAATCATCAATGAAACTGACAAAGTAGCGGAATCCTAAAGTAGAACTAACCCGACTAGGACCCCAAACATCTGAATTGACTAAAGTAAAGCTGACTCTACTCGATTATCAAGACGCCGCGGGAAATGGGAGCGGGTATGCTTACCGAGCTGACATGACTCACACTCTAGAGTGGACAAGTGAGATAAGCCAGGTACCATTTTCTGAAGTTTTGACAAACTAGAATGTCCTAACCGTTTATGTAATAAATCTGGTGGATCAGTAACGGGACAAGTTATTGGAGGAAGACAAGATGCGAGTCCATGTAATTTTGCAAGGATAAGGTAATAAAGTCTATCTGATTCACGTCCGGTACCAATGATCCACCATGTACTGCGTTCCTGTATAAAAACAAGGTCATCAAGAAATAAAACAGCAGATTTAAGTTATTTGGCTAAGCGACTAACGGCTATGAAATTAAAAGGACTACCAGGAACATAAAGAATTGAGTATAAAGGTAAGGAAGGAAGTGAACTTGCTTGACCTATTGCAGCTGCCATGGCTTGAGACCCATTGGCCATTGTGATTGTTGGAAGAGATTGGGAATATGAAATACTAGTGAAAAGAGATTTGTTACCAGAAATATGATCAGATGCACCTGAATCAATGACCCAAGACTCAGAAGTTAAAAATTGGAGACACAAGTCATGCTACTATTTGTTGGAACAACGGAGGCTAATCCTGAAGATGTCTGTTTACGTGCTTTGTACTGAAGGAACTCAATATAATCCGGTAAAGAAACCATCTGGATTGGATTCAATGCATTGGATCCAACGGATTGTGAGTTAAAGGCTTCTGATACGAATGTCATTATATATTGTGCCGAAAAAAGCAGAATTTTTCAAAGAATTACTGTTCTCGCCGGAAAACTTATTGTTCACGCCGGAAAAACCTCAAAGTGCTCGGAATAAAAAGAAAAAGGTATTAGGCTCGGAATTGCTTTGCGACCAGGCTGTCCTGAAGAAGCTCGGCCAAAAAATGGCCAGAAGAAGCCTCACGCGCCGGCGCATGACGACGGAGACTCGCCGGAAAATATTTTCCGGCGGCGCGTGAGGGCGCGTGGGCGGTGGTCTGCCGGAGAAGTTTTTATGGGTTGGTCACCGGAAGCTGATCTACCTCGTGGTGGTGTTGGTTTTTGCACAACACCGATGGAAAATGGTTTTTTTTCGAGAAAACAACCCTAAAAGGTCGCCGGAATTGAAGCACGGCGACTGTTTTGGGTGGGTTTTCTTTCCCGGATGCTTTCTCACTGCCGCTCTGACACCATGTGAGAATGCACGGGAGAAAATATTATTAATTAATTAATGACAATGATACAATAGCCCTATATATATATATATATAATACATGTCCTACTCCTACAACATATGGGATTAGGATTATTTACTACTATTTAACTATCAAACTAACAAATTACACCTCAAATTCTGCCAAAAGCTCCAGTGATTTATAGAAAAGGAAAATGCGGTATCAATCATAGATATACATTCAAGTGGTAGCATTACAGTGTATACCGTATCATTGCTTATTTCAAGTGATGAAGTTGTAGTAACCTGGACGACTAAGAGGGCATCTGTTGATTAAAACCTCTGAATAAAATCATAAATGTGGGCATTTATTTCATCAGGCTTTTCTTGGTTGATGAAGTGAGCTACTTCCTCCATTACAACACCCTCCTGCCAATTAGGCACTTCTTTCTTGAAACCACCATTGTGTATATACTCCTTGGTTCCTGGAACATTATACGTCGCGTCCAGATCACCCACCACAAACTTAGTAGGAACTTGAATTTTGCATCCCCTAAATGGTGCTGTAAGCTCCCAGTTTCTGCATTTAAAGAATAGACTTAAAAAATTTGGACGTATTTCAGCAAAATTATGCTGAAACTTTCCGTATTTCAGCAAAATAGACTATTTTTCAATTAACCATCCGAAAACTGACTAGCCCGTGCTATTTTTCACGATTTTTTCGCGAGAAGCAGACCCAATTCCATAGCGCAGTTGTGTGTTTTTGTACGGGCCTAACGGGTTTGGTCCAGAAAGTTCTCTACATCTGCTTATATACGTTCCAGAATATCTACTTGGAGCAGAAATATCGGAACGGATAGAATTTTCGAGAAAATACTAAACTCTCCTCTACGACAGTTGTTATATTAAAGATAGCTTCTTCTCTAGTGAACACCATTCATCTGGCTGGTGACAATGCAATAAGTTCTCTAGAAATGCAGTAACAAGACGACGGTTTAGCTCCCAATCATAATGAAGTCAGTTTCCAAGATTTCAATTTTTTTTCACAATACCTCATAGCAAAATTTAAGAGCAAAATAAATGACATCAAGAACAGAACTACAAAGCTGCATAAAGCCCCAAGGAAGAAATATTTAATGGAAGAGTGAAGACGCGAAATATTGATGGAAGAGTGAAGATTTGATAGCACATTACTCCAATGAGTTAATCAAGTCCTTAAAATTAAACACCAGCCAATCAGCTTTAGCTGCAACTGATTCTCTTAGTTGAACTCCTCCATAGCAAATAAACAAGTCCGCACCACCTGGCATACGAGCCTGCAACAAAAATTGCAGAAATGCAAAGCTGTCAACAGATATATCATTCAGAATCCTCAAATAATTCACAAAATAGCAGACAAGTTTGATGGTGTTGCTTTCAACATTTTCAAAAACAAAGTTTGCCCAAATAATTTGAGTTTTTGCAAACTCTGTTTGTTTAAGTTGTTCTGCAATAGATAAATAACAACAATTTTTCCAGAAGATCTAAATCTCAGTTTTTAAAATCTTTTAACAATTCAAAAACTACTTTCCAGAGTTTCTGAGTTCTTGAAAGTATTGAAATACTGAGTTTGGAAATCTTTTAAAAAAAACCACTAACTCTTTTTTTTTCTTTTTTTTGGCGAAAAGAACTCAAACAAATGAAGTTTGCAGGAAAAACTCAAAAATTGAGTTTGCAGAGTTTGTTTTCGTAAATTTTCAAACAAAAGCTAGATATATCACTCAATCCATCACCCCATTTTTTACCCTTTGGGTGATTGGAGTTGGTGGTCAAACAGGAGATGCGCGTATTGATTACTTACCTCAAGATCAGTGGCACCATCACCAATCATCACTACTGATTTGTATCCATGAGCCTGAAAGATTACTTAGCTTCATGAGCAATCTTTAAAAAAAGTTGTCTTAAAATAAGCAACTACATCACCAGTTGTTCCAGCACCAACCTTTTTTATTTGTTGAACGGCAGTAGGTTTTCCACCACTCCTTGAAGTTGGCTCATTTTTATCAAACCCGGCAGATTCTCCATTACTCCCAAAGAGCATTTGATTGGCAAAAATATTTTCAAGTGGTATACCAAGGATTGATGCGACAGGCTTCAGGAAATAGCTACGGTTAGAAAAAATAGAGACACATCTGATATGGAGATAGAATGACAACTGATCAAACTACAGTCATCAGAACACATTTTTCACTCAAATAACTGCACCAAATAATTGGGTAACTAGCAGAATTTTTTGAAAGTCTAATTGGACACTATGGTAAACAGAACCAAGTGATGACCCAAATCTTTCATCATATTAAAGGTAGCAAACCAGAAAATTCTTGTTTTCAGGTTTGCCCTGACACCCCTTGTTCCAACTACTGGAAAAGTTTATTAGCGTAACCTATTCATAGTTCATACGTATGATAACATTTATACAAGAAGATGACCAGCCAATTTTAAATGTTCCCAGTAAAGCACTTCGCAAAATAAAACTTGGAAATCAGTAACAGCAGCGAAGAATAGAATAATATCCAGAATGATGTTCCAAACTCACGAGGAAAGTTTGGAACTTCCTAATATTATAAGAAGTGCAAAAACACAACAGCATATCTTTTAATATGTTTATATCAGGTGCAAGATGAACAAATAAAACTAACCATAAACTAAACATTTCAACAAGGGAAGTACATTGATCATTTGACGAAACCCGCCTGAGACCAGATAAACATCTTTCTTTTTATCCTTCAGTTTCTTGACCAATAGATCAATGCCAGGAGAAAGTCTGCACCAATCACAACCAGAAAAGATTCAGTGGCCTAAGCTTTATAAAGTAATCAATCAACTAGCTTCAAAGGGACACCAGACAATAGTTGATTTATTTAGAATTTTTAAGGCATCGATATATTAGGCAAGATTATCTTTGAAAAGATTTCAACAACCCCAGCTGATTAAAAAAACAACCAACTAGCTTCAAAGAGACACCATTAAAACTGAATTGTTTGGCAATTTTTTGGGGTTGAACTAGCCAGATTATCTTATACCATTTTGCTTAATACACAAAGAAATTGTTTTTCACTTGCAAAATTAATAAATTGTACGGGATTTCCTTTAGAATTGCTATTGATGAATTTATAGCTATGCCAAGTAGGGAGACACAGTTTGCTGAGTGCACAGATACAAATGGTCCAATGGGAGCAAGAATTTCCAGGAACATTTGGAACACTGTGCCTGTCAATCCTCCAGAGCAAGGTAGCAATATTCCTTGTCGGGAAGGTTGACCCCCCTCTAATTTTTTTGTTTTCTTTATTTGAATTGCGTTTTCACTGGGGACTTAGATATACTGAAAGTCAATTACACAAAGCTGTATATCATTGTTATTCACAAACTAACAGATGGCTGAAGGAATACAGGTATGAAATTTGGAGGAACCAATTAACTGTAACCATGGCAAAACTTTTATATAACAAAGGCTGAGCCCAGACCCAAGCTTATGTTATGGTCTATCTCTATCACAGGCTTACAGTAAAAGCTGGTTATAACACTTTTCAACAATTTTATAATTGATGAAAACTTAAGTGGCTCTTCTAGTCAAGCCATCTCTTTTCCTTTGTAATGCCATACTGAAGAAAGAGCTGCCAGGGGCCACGACCTCTCTTAAAATTTGCTAATCCTTGAAAGATCCTGAAGGGTGGTTGAGTAGTTAATACTACTATCACTGTTGTCTGAACTGTAAGACTTAACTCTTAGGATAATTAATAAAGAGGGCTACAGCGCCCGGAGGTTAGGAAAGAACAGCTAGCTCCTGGTTTGTACTGGAGCTATTCCTTCTCCTTCTGTAATTCTGCATCTTCTTGATGCATTAACTAATGCAATTTGAGTACTTCATGAAAAAAAATAGCATTTTAAATTATGCCTAACTACTTCCTAATGTATTGATTGCTTTGGAGAATCTATTAACTGATAGTTTTTGTGTTAATTACAATATTTCTGTAATTAGTCAAGTTGCAGGAATAATGAATCCAGACAGCTATAGCATCTGAAGTCTGAACATCAACACAAGAAAGGTTTTAAGAACTCACTGGAACAAAATTGACAACCACGACCATATAGCATGCTCAGTCAAAAAAAAATCCAAATAACTAAATGGGCAGTTATGACCGAGGCCCCTAATTAAAAGGAATAGCAGATAGTAATACTCTGTACCTATAAAGCAAATCCACTCCTTACATGTAACTGTTCAATTTTTCTATAAAAGGTGAAAATTTGAAGACTCAATATGTCATTGTCTTTCCTTTTAGTAAACTCGTAATAATAGTTCGTAGAAATTGAAACCTTATGTACCATAGGTGATAAAAGGCACATCATTACCTTGGAGGTCTCTTAAGAAAATCCTGGAGTTGGGACAATGAAGGGTTGATAAGAGACAGACGAGCTGCCAATGCATCTTCGAAAGGAACAGAGCCATTCATTGCCCTGTCAAAGTCAAGACAAATGCGACATGAAATCCTATAGCATTTAATATTCGATTATAACCATTATCTGCTACATTTTAAAAAGGCAGCTAACCTAGCAGTCCATTCTGCTACAGCCTTTCCAGCTCCACAAAACTCTGCAAATTCATCTATGCCCTCGTCTATGCACACAGTGCTATCCACATCAAAGCATACAGCACTCGCATTTTGCCAAACATCAAGAACTTCTAACATAATTCAGAAAACCATCAGTTTGCTACATAGTCATAATCAATTACCTACATAATAAAACTCAATCCGTATATCATTTTACTGATCATCAATCAATCAACTTCGTCTCGATTCCGAACTAGTTGAAGTCAGCTACATGAATTCTCTATATTTCTTTTTGATAACCTGAATTCGCTATATTTCTATTCAGGCCAGTTTCATTTACAAGCGTGATTAGCAAAATTATAGGAAATGGCTCCATAACAAAGACGACAAACTTTATAGTTTTGAAGACAGGATTCAGCCTTTTCACTTACACACACACACACATGCACAGATACAGGCCAAATTCATTTTACATGCATACAACAACACCCCAGTAAAATCCCACATGTGGGTTCTGGGGATCATTTTACATGCATACAACAACACCCCAGTAAAATCCCACATGTGGGTTCTGGGGATCATTTTACATGCATGAATAGAGAAATTTAGAAACAAGCAATCCATAACTAAACAAGATTCAGACTTTTCACTTACAGACACACAACACAATACATATTAGCCCCACCAAGAATGATATCAGATCCATCTTTACCTTTAGATGGTAATGTATTGTCAAAAGGGGTAACAGCAGAGGCTTCAACGGGCTGAACTGAAGCAACAAATGAATTAAACAACTTGGAATTTCTCACCATTCCAATTGGCTGAACAGAAACTCTAGTAATTTTTGAAGAAAATGTAGGAAGTGGTACCGAGCTTTGCTCTCTAGAGACAGCACGAACAGATTGCGCTTGAAAACTCATCAGTCCCTCCATTAAAGCCTTAATAATCTTGAATTTCACAAACCTCGGATATGGTTTCGTTAAAAATTACTAAATTTTTATGTGTAATTTAAGGATGTCTTGCTCGAATCCTATTTGAAGCTTGAGAGCTGACCGAGAACCGGCAGGTGAAGTGGGTGCGCACTCGAGGGAATACAGTGTAGTGCTTCGCACCTTTAGGGTTGTGGACCTGATCGGCCTTTCAAAAAAGCAAAGCTTCATGACTAAACAATATTAAATACTTAATACGGAAAAGGTAAGGGTGTCTAACTGCCGGGCTGGGCCGGGCTTGGTAGGCAAAATTTGGAACCATACGGGTTGGGTTCTGGCCAGTTAAGGGTTGGGGCTTATCGAATTTAACGGATTCGGATTTATTCGGGCAAAAAATGAACCGTAAGGGTTACGGGTACAAGGGGTCGGGCCGGGTTCGCGTAATTTTTAATTTTTTTTAATTTTGTTTTTGTATAACTATTGTAAGTTATATTAATCTATATCTATACTATATGAAAAGCACGAAGACTCTTAACGAAATGTCATTTGTCTTTTCTGTCCTTTAAAAATAGTTAAATTACTATCTTGTCCAATGTGAACCCTATTTTTAAATGGCAGAAAAGGCAAACGATATTTCGCTAAGGGCTTCGTACTTTTAATATAGTATAAATTTAACTATTTTTTTAATATTTGGGTAATCAAATAATTTTTTTCTTATTAAATTTTTTCTTAGTTAATCTACGCAGAACTCCTAATTATTAGGAATTAGAGATTGAGTAAGATTTTACCTCGCAATTTTCTATAAATTAGGCCAAGTAATAACATCTTACTTTTAAGTTTCTTTCACGTATAGGTTATGGGTAAATAAAAATTTTGATTCTCATAATATTCACGAATTCTCAAAAAATATGATTTTTAGGTGGTTCATATAAAAGAAAAGAGGCCAACAGGCCAACGAAAACTAACAAAACAGTTTTTTTTTTTTTGAGCAAACAAGAATATCTATATCTATGTATCTATCTATACTATATTAAAAGCACGAAGGCCCTTAGAGAAATGTCGATCGTCTTTTTTACCCTCTAAAGATAAAGTTCATACTAGACAAAATAGTCATTTAATTATTTCCCTAATATTTTGGACTTTGAAGTCAATTAAAAATTTGTTTATCAAATATTTCCTTATTTTAAATATATACAAAATCCTAAATATGAGGACTCTTCTCAAATCCGTCTAGGTTTCCAAGTTTGTTTTTTAACGATGCTAGGAACCGTAGGCAATTTTTTTTCCAAGGCTTTGCCCTTTCTATTTTGATAGAAATAATTTAATTATTCTTGGTCTCAAACTTAGATAGTTAATTATAATAAAATTCTATATATTTCCAAATTCCCATCACGCATATTTATTTTTCAAATCTCTAATCTTTTTGTTTTGTTATAAATAATTTAAATTTTGCTTGAGCTTGAATAGTTAAATATAATAAAATTAAATCTTTGGTCAAATCCAAATTATACATAATTTTTACATCTTTTTAGTCTATTTCCATTAGAGTTATCGGCTAATTTGGTAACCAAAAGCGAAAAACAGGCAAAATAATTTTTTTAACAAATTGTTATTTTGAATTTTGGTTTCTTTCTTCGTTTATTGAAATGGTACGTTAACTTTTTGATAGATTTAACTAGAACCGTCCCAAAATATTGGGGCAACTGTACATCTCATCATTAGAGCAATAAAATCTATATTTATCTATCTATACTATATTAAAAGCATAAAGGCACTTAGCGAAATGTTATTCCCTTATTAAACCCTTAATTTTTTTTTTATATTAGACAAAATAGTTATTTAATTATTTCCTAATTAAAGAATTTTAAGATCACCTAAAATTTTATTATTATATTTTTCGGTAATTAAACTAGGTGGGAATGGACTTTAAAATCGAATAACACTTTTACCTTATATAGATTTCTTATTTAAAGACCATTAATATTAAAGTTGTATTGAACTATTCCTATGAGATTCTTTACTATACAAAACGTGAGTTAGCAATTACAAATTCTCAAATAAAGATTCAAAACATATGATTTTTCTTACTATTTGAAAATCGAATTCTTATTGGAAAAAAAATATAATTATTGTCAAATATTTAAAAATTAGAATAATCTAATATTTAGAATTTAAATTATAGAAACTAAGTTATTTCTTTTAATGTTTAGAACAAATAATTAATTATTGAATTAACTAATTAGCAAATCCAATTCAATTTATTTTACAAATTTATCGTATAAGAAAATTTATTTGTTAAATTGACAAAACGCTTAATTTATTTTTTAAGAAGAGTATCGATGGTGAAAGAAATGATAAATATAGCAAAATCAATTATAGTATAAAATTAAGATTCAAATAGGTAAAAGTATAAATTAGCAATAAGATAAAATTGTAGAAGACAACCAGTTATAAATGAGTTGTTATTTGTTTCTTTCTTGCATTCAGTCCAACAAATGAAAACGTCTCGCTAAATATTTATACTAAGTTTTTTCTTGTAAAATATTAGTTCAATATTAGTCATTCTTTAAACGTTAAAATTGTCACTATCAAACTTTTAGAAGATATAACACCAACTTTTTTAAATTTATTTTTAATTTGTATTATTTGTCAAATCTTTAAAGAATTGTGATAAAAAATATTTTTATATTTTATTTTCAGTATTAAGTCACATAAAAACAACAATTTTTATTTCGACATAAATTCGGATAAATCACAATAACGCTCTAAATAAAATTTCTTCATTTGTTAAGCTAACTAATGGGAATAATATTTATTATTTAAAAAAAAAATTCTTAAGTTTTATTTTATAAAATAAATTATCTAATAATATGTATGTAATTTTTAAAATTTGTATATTCATTGATATAAGTACACGCGCAAAGCGCATACTCGAATACTAGTATTGTATTAAAAGCACGAAGGCCCTTAGCGAAATGTCGTCCGCCCTTTTTACCCTTTTTAAAATAGAGTTCACATTAGACAAAATAGTCATTTGATTACTTCCCTAATATTTAAAAATAGTCATTTAATCAATTCCCTATTATTTAGGAATAGTTATTTAATTACTATTCCTATAATACTTATAATTGACACACATACTAGGAAACATTTTCGTTCTCTACATAATAGGAAGTTTTCGTCCAACTCTTTATTTAGGAGTATTATTAAATTTTTCTTTCTAATTTAGGAGGATCTTTTTTAGTTAATAAAAATTTGTCCAATTTACACACAATAGGAAGGTTTCAGTTTTTCTTTAGTTAATAAAATTTTAACTAATTCACATACTAGGAAACTTTTGATACTTTCAACTATATTTAAATTTAGGAGTATTAAAATTTCACACTTGAAAAGTTCTTAAATTTTGACTAATTCATGCACACACTAGGAAAGTTTTGATATAAATTTTTGACACTGAATTTTTTATAACTATATTAGATGAAAACGAGCTCTTTGAAAACTTATAAGAGTCTTTTTTTTAATAAAATTTTCACCCAATTTTATATACGCCTGTAATTCTATAAAAAGAAGTTATAATTTCACCTTTTTATTATCGTAATTTTGCCTTGTTGGAGCAACAATTACAAAATTAAAGGTTTTAGGTTTTCTTTCTTTGAGCAATTTTTTTACTAGCAGTTGAATTTTGCATTCATGTATTTGTATTAGTAGTTGAATTTTGCATGCACGTATTTAACCAATACATCTTATTTTGCTGATCTGGATTGTAAAGCTTGGTTGAATAGAATCCTTTTTGTATTAGACTGTATGCTTTAACCTTTATTTAAGTTATTTCTTTTACTATTTTTTCGTGCTCTTATTGGACCTTTTTTCTCCGTTTTTAGTTGCTTTTAATAGTTCTTATATTGGACAATACTGTATTAAATTATTTTTCTTAAAATTTTAAGATGTTGCAATTAACTAAAATTTTAGTTATAATTATTTTATTTGAACTACGTAGGAAGTCCTAATATTTAATACTCTAAAATCAATTAAGATTTTACCTTATGAAATTTTTAAAAATAATTTATTTATTGGAACTAAAAAGCACGAAGGCCCTAAACGAAATGTTATTTGTCTTTTTTACCCTCTAAATATAAAGTTCACACTAGATAAAACAGTCATTTAATTATTTCTCTAATAATTAAAAATATTTTGTGTAATAGATTTCCTAATATTTAGGAATACTCATTTAAATATTCTCCTGCTATTTAGGACTTTAATTTTTCTATTCCTTTTAGATCTACAAGTCGTGCCTTTTCAAATCCATGTAGATTTAGTAGTATTAAATTTTATGAAATTTCAATTACCACTAGGAAAATTTCTGAAACTTTGTACCACTTATATGTTTAAGATGATCTTTTAATAAAATTGTCGTCACTTTCAAATTCCATTCAATTTTAGACTTATGATGGTTTTTCACTTTCTACCTCCACTTAAATTTAGCAGTATTAAATTTTAAACACGATTTATCTTAGGAAAGTGACCGCTTTGTAACTCCTTTTAGTTTTAGGAAGCTTTTTAAATAAAATTTTGACTCAATTAAATTTTAAGCACTTTTATTTTATACTAGGAAAGTTTCGATCACTTTGTACTCACTCATTTTAGATTAATTTTTTATAAGTTATTAGGTAAAAAATAAGCACTTTGAACTGCTTTTTGTTTTTGGAGTCTCTATTTTAAAAAAAAAATCTTTATTTATTTTAACTATATATAATTTTACCTTACATAAATCTTTTCCTGTTTCAATTATCTATGTAATGCTTCTATAAAAGAAGCTTTACTATTCTATTGTTTTTATCATCGAAACTTATACAATTTTACGTTAGAAAGTGTCAAAATATTTGTACTAAACAAAATAGTTATTTAATTATTTTGAATATTTAGGACTTTAATTGTTTCTTAAATATTTAGGACATAAAAATTAATTAAATTTATGTATTAAATTTTTTTTCTATTCTGATTATGTACTATACCTTATTTGTAAAAGAAAATCACGTTTTTAAATTTAGAAGCTTAAAATTCATATATTACAAATTCAAATTAGGACTTCCAAGTTTCAAGGCACGTAGGCCATATGCCTTGAAATCACACCTTTAGCTTCGAACATCAATTTTAGGTTCAAGGGTCTTAATTAATATAGTTTTAAAACTTTCAAAGCGGGTAGACACAAAATA